GCATGTGTTCCACATGGAGTAATTACCGACGGTTGTGGAACAGCTCTTTATATTGCGGGAGGACGGTGGCTCATGCTCACCTGTGCGTAGCTATTTACAGGTAGTAGGTGTACTTGTGCATCACGTGGCTAGCGTTAAGCATTAGACAAATCAAAGTGCAAGCCTGATAAGCCGTTCACCAGTGTTCACTCCGATGAGGTACACCAAAATTTCAGTGACTATCCTGTTAAAACACACTTCATTATCATGTCCATCCTGAGAAAATATACTGGTCGTGATGGCTCGGCTTGACATGGTAACACCCTTACGGCCAAAATGAAATTTTTGTTAACTACACACTTCCATTGGCGACCAACAAAGTTAGATCATCAAGATTTATTTACGCACCACAATAGCCCCACATCGACTCCTAAGGCACAATGCTGTCCCGTTTTGGGAGGCACCATCCCTTATTTGGTTTGAAATGCCAAGTGATAGTTTCCTGACGTTCTCTGAAAAATTCCACACATCTTTCCTATGGATTGCTTCTTCACCAGCAAGCTCTAAAATGATGAAACTACGGCGCAGGCCTGCATAAAGTTAGGCGAATGAGAAGGCCATTAGAAAAACAGGTGATATTTGTGTTACTCAATCGTTACTAGTAGTAAAGATAATTTTTGGATTCTACCCCAGCAGCTGCAGAACTGGATGAAAATACAACTCCGACTTAATTATTTGTACTTAGTAATCATAATTCAACCGATATTTCCGATTAGCTGACTGGCTAAAACGTTCAGTGTAACTAAGTCACCCTGCTTACCATTCGGAAATGGAACCATTCCTATACAATCGAAGGTACGTGACTCTCCACCGCCGCTTCTCTCTCCAAACTTCTGATAAACTCCCTGCTCGGGAAAACAGATTTGTTGCCACAGAGGTGGAGAGTCAACAAAGCGCTTTTATCTCTCTTGAAAATCACGACCGGGAGATTAGGTGGGGGTTATGTGCGGACTGCTTACAACAACTCTATCATTCGTGTCCATTTTGGGCCAAGGAACTCTTCAGTGATATCCGAAGCTACTTCTGCTAAGAAGAATGAAAATCATGCAAAACGAAGCACACGCTGAGATAGGCCAGGATAGTGCAAATCTAAGGCTTGTTTAATCCAGGTAACTGGAATGTCTTTATCTATGGGAGCAGCGATGTTGCCTTCCCGCTGGGAGGGTTAGTCATCCTAAAAACCACACATTCCAATCATATAACGGTTGGTCATCACGCCGATTCATAATCCAGTACTGTCAAATTATTTCCTAATCGAAGAATCTGGTGCTTTTGGCATACACCTGCTGTGAACAATTCACTGGGATCCAGGCAGTTAGCCCTTACTTTCTGTTCCCTCAGGCTAGGCAAGACACCCAAACCCAGCTCAGTCAGAGTACTGGCTCCTGGCAAGTTACCCCAAGAAAATCCCAATACCTGCTGCTTCTTGGGTCTAACTTTCCAGTTGAAAGGCTACGAGTATGGCTCTGGAACACAATCTTAGCTTCTCACACTGCGCCTTGGATCAGACTTTTGATCGAAAGGTTCAGGGTTGGAGGCCCCGAACAAACTCCCTTCTTATAGACGTATTACACCACTCATATGGTTCCTGTAAACTCCTCGCCCTTCTTGTAGCTCATCAAGTAGATGCAGTCCCACATTTTTGTCAAATTTATGTTCTACCAGAACCCAAATTACATAAAATTTGACTTATGCACCCATCTCCCGACCAAATTGGTTTGACGGGAGACTTCCCTGGAACCCAGCTGGGTCTCATTCATAATAGTCCTCAGCTAGGTTCTTGATGAGTCGTCAAAACCAAATTGGCATGCGGATGAGCGTATTGGTCAAACTCCCTTATTCTTTGGTTTGGGTAACTGTTAAGTAACATATACCCATGCTGCTTATTAGCAGCGGTTAGCCTACTTAATTTATCGGTTTCCAATTCAGTTAACAGCCATGGGACTCTACAGGTTAAGTGTCCATTCCTTGGCCATGTACCCAGAAAAATACGAGATAAACGTCCTACTAACACCAAGGAATCCGTTCAACATAGCAGCAGACGTCCCCTGCTCATTCCCCGTTGTTCCTTGGGAATCGATGTCTGTTTGTCTCTGAAACACGATTACATGACCCTTCTTCTGCAGTGCATCTGAACGTGATCCAATGCAGTTCAGTTTATTTACGATTCACTCTCAAGGTTCACGTGATCCAGAAGGAGATGCTTGTTCTCTTGTCTGTCTAGGTAGAAGTTGAGTGAGTGAACTGAAAACTCTTCGTTTAATCGGACTCCTATGAAGAGCTGAGCTCATGGAATCATACTGGTCGGGTCTGTAAGAATCCGAAATCAATGACCCAACCAACGATATCTGTTCGTTATAATTGCAGTTATATTTGACACTGGCCAAGGTGCTTTTCATGAAGAACTTCTGATGGTCACTATTCTAGCTGGCGATTTGAACACCCAGTTTGAAAGAATTGACAAGCACGAGGGTCATCTTCGCGGAAGATTTTGTCTAGATGCTCTCAAAGCGGACAATGATATGATAGCTTCCCACAACTGTACGAAGATCGACGTCTATCGTGCAGAAACATAAACCTTCACCAAAGGCTTGAACATTGCGTTATCTAGCGCCTTCCAAACTGTAACCATTCGGGTAGTGATCCTGACCACATAGTAGTTGAAATAGATGGTCATCTTGTATCCCAAAGCGTTGTTTCTTTTATGGCACATGTGTATAGGCAGGTCATATGCTTGTTCATGTTCCTATTGCACTCGTTTCCCGAAAGTTAAACAAACCGTTCATCGTTAAAATATGCACTGTCTTCAAGATTTGATCGTCAATAAAGTCTATCAGTAGCAGTTGTACAGATGCGAAAAAACAACAATTGAATACTTGTTCGGAATCCGGAACGTTGGGAATTCGGCGTTGGACTGTGTGAATCCACGGCTTGATCGCCGTCATGCCATATGTATCATGAGAAAATCAAATTAGCAGTGCTTAACTGCAACGCCTTGTTTTTGGCAAGAAATCAGCTGTTTGTCCTATAGACTGGTTGATTTGGTTGCATCAGCTATGCCGGCTCCGTCCTGCTCCGGCAGCCGAATACGTATCTCCACCGATATATTTTAGCGGCGTCTATGAGCGGGATTCCAGAGAAATGCTTTAGTAATCTGTCGGTTACGTGTTTATAGAGTACAAGTGTGTACACGCACGGTCACATTGGAACGCTAACCAGTGTGTTGGTTGGTATGTCGATCCTTATTCGCGTATTGATCCGATGCACTTGCGTCGAAGTGCGAAGAATTCTACTGCTGGTCATTCATGCGCTAGCTTCATCGCGAAGGCCGCCTCGTTACAGCCAGCTTCAACATGAAGCATTCGCATAATCTGAGAATGTCTGACTGGCAAGTGTACGCAGGCAATCGCCGATGGCGAGTGCTGGATGCAGATTCGGTGGCTCTGTATCAGTGTCGCAAATGTTAATAACCATGCTTTCCACAACCCTGTTTCCTGAACATTGGCTTCACATTGCTTTAAAACGGTAACTAAGGTATCCAGGCCTTGCGTTGAAGACAAGCTTGTGTAGGTGTTCAAAGGGTGGTATAACTCACCAGTGGGACTGAATTACACCGGGAAAAACAAACTCTGTCATGCTCGCAAGCACGTGACACTACTAGAACAGACTACTCATTCCGCAAAACTGACCGTCTTATAATGCGCTCCATTAGCTTCTAAAGTATGAATTTATCGAGGAAAAAACAACATTCAGGTTGCTAGATTCATCAGCTGAACCCGTGCCTTCATGCCAAAGAATTTACTGGCGAAACATATTTAAGCACTTCGCCCTTTTGATGGCACCCGATTCCCGCCACACAGGGTTAGGTTGGAATGTTTGACCACTGCTCGAGCTGAGTGGCCTTCAGAATACTATGGTGCAGTCCACACAAACCAGAAGCGCTGACGGAATTTCCCTTGCACCCCACTTCAAGGGTGTTACCGCAAAAAGTAAGCTGGTTCGGCGCCGTTCCTAATTCCAACCCGTACACGTTTGGTTTCCTGAATTAGCTGAGTGATGTTACCATCAATCGCTTCTCCATCCACGTCGTATTAAAATAAACGGTTCAGTTTCGTTTTTTCACACAGCAGTTTGTGGTCAACGGTTGACTCATCTGAATTTACAAGAATAAATGATAGATGTACTTCTCTGGCATAAAAGCAGAGAATATCGTTGATCCACTAACTCCGAAGGGCGCATTGACAGTTCCATTATTATAAACTAGAGTTAGGGCAGTCACTGATCAAACAGATCATGAAAAATATAGGTTCCCATATTTAATGAGAGTGATTCATGTGTAGGAAGTCCTCTTCAGGGTGCATTTTATATAGACTAAGAACTGGATTTCTATCATCCAGGAGACATCTAAATACCATTTATCGCAAGAAATTGAGACCAGACGAAAATGGATAAATAACCTCCGATTTTGTGATATTAAAATTACGACCTTCATAGTTGGTGAGATTGCGGTGACTGATCGCTTTTTAATTGTCTGATACTGTTATTTACAACCCTGGTGGACGATGCCATAGTTTAAAATAGGCCATGGGAAACCTCCGTAAAAAATTCAGTCCGTGCCATAATCAAACTAGGGATTACATCAGATCTCCAAATGATTGTTTCCGAATACCAGCTCGTAACAGATCACACCTGTGTTGCAAAGAGTAAACCAACAAACAACATTCATACCATAAACAATTTTCCGATGTTCCTGCCACTGAGATTTCCGACATTCAGAATGAGAATGGGGCCGTAAGAAACGTGGATGTCACACCAGCCAAAAGCACAGCGTCTTAGAGGTAGTAAACACTGTCGCAAACTGAGATGCTGTTTGTGCGAGGTACCCATCGCTTCGCCGTGAGATGTGTTCCGAATGCGACAATGGTTACGGTACATCCAACCAACGATTGGGTAATCTCAAACTAAATAACTTGGCACCTGGTTGGTCGCCTGTCAAGGCTTTCCCCGATTGGTTAATGCTTTCCACGATGCTGTTGCTTCCATAAATATGCCATTGTAGCCCTTCCGTAGACTTTCTCTGGGTACGGATGGAGCCTGTCGACCGGAACCGAGGAAAGTACGCACACCGTGTACTTTCTGCACGACCCATATTAGGAACGCTCCCAAATGTGACCTGGTTCGGTTGTGATGCCGTTCCGATGGAACCTCTCATCAAGCGAAAGTAAGTTCCTATGACATAACCTTCGAGAATTCCAGTTCATCTGCTAGGCGCGTATTTGATAGTTTTATCATCAACTGCAATAACAAAAAATGGATGTTAAACCTCTTAGGAGTTATACGAATAGGATCAGAAGGGCTAGTTACGTCAACATTAGCTCCTTTCTCTCGTATCACCGTCTACACCATCGACACAACAGAACAGTATAAAAACTATTACTTTACTAATAAATGTACACATGCAACTACTACACATGTAAATCAAACTTCGCAGTTCGGTTATTTCCTTTGTGATGAGGAAATGAGTGCCGGTCCTATACATCGACCCAGCTGGATGAACTTGCAGATGACTCAGCAGCAGACTCTTGCAGTCTTCTTCCCATAAACTATACTATTCACCAATAGGTATTGAGTAAACCCATCAAACAAATTTCGAAGACAGACGGAAAGTGAAGATATCCTTCCATAAATATTATAAACAGGTCAGAAAATCGACTGGAAGCCTATCGATTTCACACGACTGAAATCGTCACGTGATCAACCCACATTTTAGCCGTCATGACGATTGGTCTATACCCAGTTGGCGTGATGTCGGTCTGTCTGGTTGGTTCGTTCAGGGTAGCCAGCGCTTGAATTATGGATTACTTGTAATTGAAGACGTGGTAGATGGCTCAGAAAGCCGTTTCCAGGCCTAACGTGTGTGTGCTAAATAAGTACTCAACTCTTATTGCGAGCATAACTCCGCCTCTATCTGTCTACTATCCATGCTACACAGGCCCAGTTTCCCTCATTGGGTTTCATTATTTCAAATGTGGAATTATTCTAGGTGTGTCATCCAGAGGGATTCTGGGCCCATGAAGCAGGCCTAAGTGATGACTATTTAAGTTTAGCCGTCTAGAAGCCCGAGTCAACAGCTGATCAAACCAAAACCACAGCTGTTCGAGATTGGTTGAGGTTGCTAGATGTAGGAGTTAGCGTCGTGTCATTGCTAGTCAGTGTGCTCGTCATCTACACCCATTTGTTAAACATCAGCAACAGGAAAGTACTCTTTGTGATTAGGTTGTTCTGGGAGCGATCTAGTTTGAATTTGCTGACAGTTTCCCTCAAAGTTAAACCGTCAAAAATATGTATAATGCCATATTAAATTAAGCAGTATAATATGATATATAAAACGCACATATCTTTTCTGTTCCAGCATGAAAAAGGATTTACGGTACTCGACAAATAAACAAAAACGGTGGGAATTACTCCGCGAACTTCAACAATATTTGGCAGAACCTCACGAAGACGGTGTACGAGTAGTCGGGCAAGAACACCGATTGTGTGAAAGATACCTTCTCCATTGTACGGTCAGCGTTCCAGAACTGGAAAACGTACTGACACTAAATAGAGAGCGGAATAACTTGAAGGGATGGACAAGCAACGATAAAGAAACCCCGAACCAACGGCGAAACTGCAGTCGGAGAATGCGGCGTCAGCATCGGGAACATCGCCGGCCGCAAGCCAGTTCAGACCAGACGACAGCGGCTTCCGCTCAAACCAGGGTTTCACCATACCCCCAATCATTCGTTCTGTTTTCGGAACCTTCTTTGCTCAAGCGTAGTGACCTCTATAGATATGATAGGAGAAGGGTTCTAGAGGGCGTCCAACTGTTGAGGTCGAAAGCGCGCAAGGAATTGAAAGCGATTTGTCACACTAAGGACCCACAAAACCTTGAAGACTATTTCCTCACCGAAGAGGAACTGAACGACCTGAACGATTGGAATGAGTCTTTTGGCAGCCAAGACTCTCTCAGCGAATGTTTAGACGGTTTCAGTGAGGAGGAAGCACAAACCGTTCCCCCAGATTCCTTCAATAACTCCAACTTAAATCGTGACTGCACAGACCAACCAGATGAATCATCAACCGACACTGAAGTAGAAACGGCAGAGTGGGTGATTGTTTCAGTGGAAGAAACGGANGGAAACGGAGTTCCCGATGACTTCCTGAAATGTATGGCTTGTGAACAATTGCAAACTTGTAGGATCGGATTATCCATGGAGTGGGTGGCCACAACTTGCCTGACACAAAATCAGTCCACGTGCATGTGGCAGCCAAGTAGATATCGACCTTGATCGATTCACTGTTCTGTTTCTTGTGAGTCCGGCAATATTATTTCAACATGAAAATGATAGACTGTATGGTTCAGAAGCTTCAGTAATGTTGTGATCCACCGTCAATCTGAATTTATTCGAAATAATTTCACGGTTCGCAATATATTTCAACATGTCTTCTTTCAAAATTATGGATGCTGGGTACCTCTTTTGCGCTATAAAAACTAAGGACGTCTTGCTCGTGGTCGCCAATGCTTGACTCATCAAGCTATGGAAGAAACGGTTGCTGTAAGGTCAGAGAGCTAACCATGTACTAATATTGCTTTTGACATTTAATCGCGTAAAAATTAATCTGCAGCCCCCGATAGACTTGCGTTTGGTCACCCATGTGGACACCAAGCACCATAGGGGAATTCTATTCTAGCATTTTTGCCGTGTACCATAGAAACACAATGGAGTTGGGATAGATGGTAATTTCCCCGGATTTGACGAGAGCTATAGCCAACCCATTGACAGAGTCTACAGCAATGAGTATCAGCGCTTGCAAACCGCCGAGTATTACACACAGTTACACCCTGTGCAGTTTTTCACATTAACTAGAATCTGTACGAACAAAGCTTATCAGTCAGAACCTTATTGCGTTCAAATGAGCCTCCGTCTGAAACGCTGCCGAAGCTTGAAAACCAAACTACCGGTTGCGCCAGCTCCATAAATGTGTTAAATTCAGGAAGAGAACACCGAGGATTGTCTCAGTCTCTTTTGCTGACAGCAACACAGTAATGGTGATCTACAAGTGTTTTATTGGCAACAACACATTTCGCCTTTTCGCGACTATGGAATGGAGCGCTAAATCCAAAAATATTAAGTACAGGTACACTTACCTTGGGAGAAAACACACCCGGGGATATGGAGATGTTAGGCTCTTATCCACCACCAACACCAGCATTGTTCAAGTCCACCGGGGCGTCCCTTTGTTCGCTCTACGTGAACTCTTTCTTCAGCGAATGGGGCTGCGAAACGAACTTTATCTTCACATGGATTGTTGTCTTTCACGTCTTCACGTAAAGTTTCACAAGTTTTATACAGTCAAATGAAGACAGAAGACTTACAATGTTATCAAATTCCAACAATACCCTGAATTCGAACTACAATTATTCTATTAGACGTCGCAGACAATGCTATGCATATTTAGTGTGGACAAAGTTGTTGAGCGGAGACTGGTTA